AACACAACACTTTGGCTTGGTTGGGAATCAAGCCAAGTTATACACTCATGCATTTCTTTACTAGTCTTGCTGTTACCAGCTCTTTTATCATCAGCTACGATCAATGGACCTATGCAAGAAATCGGTGGTGTGTGGTTATTAGGCACACAGAGCCCATCTGATATTGCCTTAACAGCTCTGGACTCCAGCGATTCAAATGTGTTGATCATAATTCCTGCTGCTTGAGGGAATTGAGTGCCAAAATCAAGAAAGTATTCGTAGGCCTTATTGTCTCGTTCAAGAAAAGGCTTTGGCACATCAGTAGCAGGAAGAGGTGGCAAGCCAGGAATATCAAGGAAGCAATCTTTCATATCTTTGAAACTTTTGTTGGTGTTTTGGTGAAGGATAGGGAAGTAAAGGAAAAGAGCAAGAAAACAAGCACCAGAAGTAATGAAAAAGTAACTAGGGATGTTAACTTCATTGGCCACAGAAAGACCAGAAGTGCAAAAGAAGTCCATAATGAGGCCATGAATTTTATACCTTTTGGATATGTTGATGAGTTCTTCATGAACATACGGTTTGCTAAGGTCAAGGACCTCCAAAGTGAGCTCTTCATGGTGGGTTACAGTAGTGGAAACTGGGGTAACGGCGGGGAGATGGTGGAATCTGATGGAAGGAACGATGGCAGAAACAGTGGCAATGTATTCATCAGTTTTGCCTGCAATATAGGGCGAAGCAGCAACGAGAATATGAATGGAAAGGGAAGGTCTATGAGTGAGTAAGAGTTTGCCTAGCTCCACCATAGAAACCAAGTGGCCAATAGGTGGTGAAGGGTATAGAACTACTGCCTCCTCCATTGCTCTCCTTTTGAGAGACAGAACAAAAACAGGCACTAGCAGAAGTGGAGGATGGGGTGTGGAAGAAAGTAACTGGACAAGAAGCTTTTGTGAGGTGGCTCAACAATAATGTACTTGGTGATAAGATTTGGGTTTATATAGCGATCAAGACTTTGCCTCTTACTTTCCCTCTTGAAATTGTTCTTGAATATTTTGGAAGGTAGGTGGGGTATCTGAAGTGATTCGCCATCGATCTGCCAGGTAAGGCCCAGCAGTTATCGTTAGTTCAGCGGCAGTATACAATATTCACGAAGTAGAACATTTTTTTGTCATGACAAAGGCTGTGTGAAACCAAAGTTTTCTAATCCAATCAAAGAGCATGAGTGCATGTGCCTGTATTTTGGAGGTTGACCTCAATGGAGGAAATTATAAATTAGTTTATAGAAACAAATTATTTACTTTTTATATATATATATTTTTTAAAAATTTAACTTTTTTGTATTGGGAATGAATAAATAATATGGAAGAGTTGATGAAAAAAATGATATATATATATATATTTTTTAAAAATATCATAATATTAAACTAATTGTGCACAATGAACTAAACAACTAGCTTTTTAAACAAGGGATAGTAATTAATTATTTAAAAAAAAAATAGAAAGAGTAATTTGTAATTTACTGACCCATTCACAAAGCTTCACTTGGAGGAAATTACGAGTCCCTTTTAAATAATACTCCCTTCGTTTTAAAAAATTTAACTTTTTTTATTTACATTTGTTTCAAAATGTATTTTCGATCAAAACTTTAAGTAATATGTATTTTTTTAAATAATCCTAATTAAAACCCATTTTGTAAAAGATAACTTAAATACAATTCTAAAAAAAAGTATTCTAATATAGTATTAATAAAAATGGTAATGCGGTATAATAATTAATACTTTTTTTAATACATTTGAAAAAGTCAAAGAATACAATCTTTTTGAAGCAAAGAGAATATAACATTACGACAAATTGTGTTCAATTACGTAAAATAATTGCATAAAAATAAGTAAAGCATAAGCTAAAGGAATTGTGCAAGTAATTAAGCATGTCCAACTCCATGACATAAAAGATCAACTACTTATGATTCTTCAGTTTTTGTGTGTTGGAAATAAGTGCATTAAAAGTTAGTAAATTAATGATATCTTGTTTGCTTAGCAATGCCATGCATCTTGAATCTCTTTCTTAAGATCAACTACTTATGATTCTTCAGTTTTTGTGATTTGTTGTTTGATTTTGACACAACACAGAGCTGTCTTATTTATTTATTTTTTATTTTCCTTTTGTTGTTGAAGTTGAGAAATTCGAACCAAAGTCTTGTTAGAAAAAAAATTGAATATGAATTATTGGAGGAAAGATATTAGTTGAGTTGTGTTTTCTTGCACGGCCAACTAAGCCAAGTTATTCTTCCCGGAAATTGAGAAAAAAAAAATCCAAAACGAGTTAAATTCAACATTTCTCCCAGTACATGGATCGAATTGAGTAAATTATAAATTAGTTTTTTTTTAAAAAAAATTGATTAGTTATTCTTTTTTAAAAAATTAATTATTTAATTAGTGTTGATTATGGTTGATTGAAAACTATTTTATTTTTTAAAAAATATTTTTCATAATTTTTTTCTTTTTTAATCTCTTAAAAACAAAAAATAAAAATAAATTGAAAAGGAAAATTTTTAAAATGTAGGGATTAAATAATTATTTTTTTAAAATAATAATTTTTTTAAAACTAAAGGGATTAATTTACAATTTACTTTAATTGAACATGTATCACGATGTTGAATTTTGTTTTGACTAATGCATCTGCATCGTGTTTCTAAGTGGGTTCCAGCCTCTAAATGTATGGAATAATAAATTATAATTATCACCTTCCCCTTTTCTAGAATCTTGGTTTGATTTGTTTGTATTTCTAGGAGAAAGACAAGACGATTGCAGTAGCCCAACAACTCACGTAATGTCAAGTGCCATTGGTTCGTGGACCTTAGGGAGAAGGGACTTGTCAGGCCATCAACGCCATTAATGAATCAGATTATGATATGAATTTAATTCGATTTTGATGTAAATAAATGAATTTAGAATATAATTTTTACTATTTAAATATGATTATAATTTATTTATTAAATAAATTTAAATTTAAATTTAAATTTATTTCGATTCGGGTTTATTAATAATAATTTAATCTAAAATTAATATTATTTTTAATAAATATATTATTTTAAAAACATAAAAGATAAAAAACATAGCACTGGAATTAGATTTAGAGTTTATTATTCTAAATGTTAAATAATGTTCTAATGCTTATATTTCTCTCTCTCTCTCTAGCACTGGAATTAGATTTCGGTTTATTAATAATAGTTTAATCTAAAATTGACCGCTATTCTTTCAATCAGTTGCATGATAAGTTTTTGTTTCGTCATTTTTCAATTCTCGCATGAACCTTATAAAAATCCAATAGACAGATGATTTTTTTTTTTAAAAAAAAAATTTATAACGTCTTGATGGAATTGGGATTTTTGTCCATTTCAAACATATTCTTTATAAAATACTATGATTTTCTTTTATGCCAAAAAAATTATGCTTACAACTTATGCTTAGAATATGCATTTTTATTATTTTTTAGTTTTGATGTACTTTTTATCTAATTGAAATTAATTTTCTCGCACTCGGATTGAATTCATAAAATTCTATTCAATTTGTTTATCAAACAAATTGAATACATATATGCTTTGATCCGATGCTAATCCACCATATTAAGAGTTCTAGTTAGACATGCAACCCAATTCATTTATGTTTCCATGACTCAACAAGTTTGGACAAAGCCACAAGAGAAGAGCCACCCTCGTTGTTTTTCTCTTAAAATTGGGACTGTTTCTTTCTTTTAATAATTAGGGAAGATTTAATATGATTTTAAAATAAAATTTTAATATATTGTAGATATAAGTGTCTTATAATTAAATGCTAAATTTCATAATTTTATGAGATCGTTTAGACCAACATCCAATTTTTTTTAGTTCACGCTACTTACCTAGTTAATTTCTGCACTAAAAATGAACCTATTAAATGTTTTACTCTCGAATTTTAAGAGAATCTAATGTTTAAATTAATACTGACTCTTTAATTTTAAGGTTTGATAGTAATTTAACATGATTTCATATAAAAAAAATATATATTTTTCATCAATTTTTAATTTTTTTATCTCTTAAAAATAAAAAATAAAAATAAATAGAAGAGAAACGAAAAAAGATTAATTTACTATTTTTTTTAAATATAAGAATTAAATTATTATTATTATTATTTGAAATAAAAAGGACTAATTACTTTGTTTTTTTTTTAAAAAAAAGAAAACTGCAGGGACTAATTTACAATTTTCTCGAATTGATTATGGATCATGATGTTGAATTTTGTCTTGACCAATGCTTGGTGCTGCATCATGTTTCTCAGTGGATTCCAGCCTCTAAATATATGGAAAACTAAATTACAATTATCACCTTCTCCTTTTCTAGAATCTCGACTTTGATTTTTCTGTATTTTTATGAAGAAACGGCACCAGGAGAAAGACAAGATGATTGCAGTAGCCCCACAAAAAGATAACAACATCTCCAACTTCCATTAATGTCCACAGCAATTATTCAAATGCCATTGGCTCGTGGACCAAAGGCAGAAGGGACATGTAAGGCCATAAAGGCATGAATGTGAATGAACCAAAATATTTGCTTTTTTATTTTTTCAAGAATAATCAAATGATAAATCTGACGAATATACAAAATCCGATATGATTAACAATTAAATAACTCAATTTGAATTTATAAAATCTGACTTACTTCATTTATTAATGAAATTGAATCTAAATCTATAATGTCGGATTTTAATCCAATACATTAAGAGTTTTAATTAGGCATACGCTTAATTCGAGAATTTTTATAATACTTAAAAAATAATTATTACATTATAATTACTTTATGAGCTTATTTTTAAGAAAAAATAAACATAAAAAAATCACACCTAAAATTAATAAAATAATTTTATTTTGACTTAATTTTGTTTTAATTTTTTTCTCATTTTTGCATCCATCTCTCTATGAATTAATTAGAACTTACATAATAAATTATTATTTGCTGAGTATTATAAAATTTCTCAACCCAACCTTATTCATTTATGTTTCCATGACTCAACAAGTTCGGACAAAGCAACCCGAGAAGAGCCACCCTCACTCAATGCAGCCTTGGCTGCATTTTTCATAGCAACGGTTCGCTCCCTAATTAACTTACCTTCCTCCGCCTCCATCAGCCATCTAACTCGCTTCTCCACCTCGGCCGCACTCACAAACCCGCCATCAGATTCGTTCATCGGCAAAGCAAGTTTCATTTCCTCCACTAATAAGACCCTATTGAGTCTTTGCTCGGCGTATAGTGGCCAAGCCACCAATGGCACTCCCGCACAAACTGCTTCGAGCACAGAGTTCCATCCACAATGACTCACAAAACCACCTACTGACGGATGGTTCAATACCGCTACTTGCGGAGCCCATGACTTCACCACGAGTCCCCTCTCCTCGGTCCGATCCAAGAAACCTTCGGGGAGCAGCGAGTCTAAATCAGGGTCTGGTTGTGCCGAGAGTGCTACGGTTTTTTCATCGGAAGGTGGATTCCGAACCACCCACAAGAACCTTTGGCCACTTCTCTCCAACCCGAGAGCTATTTCTCTTAACTGTTCCTTGGAGAACAGCCCCAAACTACCAAAACACAGAAAAACAACACTTTCACTTGGTTGCGAGTCAAGCCATGTTAAACACTCGAGTTTACCATTGCAATGGTCTGTATCATCTTTTCGACCTTCTGTTGCTATCAATGGTCCGATGCAGTAAATCGGTGGGGTGCGATTATCCGGCACACACACTCCCTCTGAAATTGTTTTCACGGCTCTGGCTTCTAGTGACTCAAATGTATTCACTAAAACACCTGCGTATTCAGGGAAGCGAGTGGAGAAATCTATGAAGTATTCATAGGCCTTATCATGGCGATCGAGCAATGGCAATGGCATGTCAGCGGACTGTATTGGTGGCACGCCTGGAAAATTTAGAAGGGAGTTAAGATCTTTAAAACTTTTGGTGGTGGAGTTATGAATGGTTGGTAAATAAAGGAAAATAGCGACAATCCCAGCGCCAGAAGAGCAGAACTGGTAGCCAGGGATATTGAGTTCTTTGGCAACAGAGAGAGCAGCAGTGCAAAAGAAGTCCATAATAAGGCCATGAATGGTGTAGTTTTCGGAGATGGACAAGAGTTCTTCCCGAACGTGAGGATTGCTGAGGCGAAGGACCTCCAAAGTGAGTTCTTCATGGTGGGTGGTGTTTGTCGTAGGGAGGGTTACGGTGGGAAGATGGTGGAATTTGATCGAGGGAATGGTGGCAGCAACGCCCGCAATGTATGGGGCAGTGGAGCCAGAATTATAGGGCACAGAAGTAATGAGTATGTGAATAGAAAGGCAAGGTTGATGGGTCAATAAGAGTTTGCCTAGCTCCACCATAGAGATCAGATGGCCAATGGGGGGTGATGGGTACAGAACTATGGCCTCCTCCATGGCTCCTTGTGGCCTTTCCTATGGCTCTGTGTATTTTGAGAGAGAGAGAGAGAGAGAGAGAGAGAGAGGAGGGCAAGCACTATGGAGCAGTTTTGAAAAGAAAGAGATAAGGTTACAAGCAGCACCTGAGCATGAACAGAAACAGACACGTGGGGGTTCCACCAAAAAAGTAGCAGCCACATGTACAAAACTAAAATTCTTGAATGTAGACAAAATTCAGGAGAAAGTGATTAATAATGGAAGTCCGAAAGAGTAGTCAGCACGAACGTCAGAATCCTTGTCTGTTTGTAGCCAGCCGATGTCTTCTAAATTTTTATCACGAAGGAAGCCAATTGCTTTCATCTTACCTTGACATGTGGCTATCATGACCGTTGTCATAACCAAATTTTTTATTTCCTATTTCTACCGATTGTTTTTTCTAAAAAAAAATTAAAATTAAAATTAAAAAAAATTGCCTGGTGTCTATATTTTAATGAATTTTTTTTTTTTTTTGTAATTTTAGGTAGTCTTGTAAGTTTTTAGGATTTTAAGATGTATTGGTATTATTATCCTAATTAGTTGGAAAGTGAAAAAAAATACAAAGAAGAAAAAAAGAAAAGAAACTATATATATATATATATATATATGAGAGAGAGGAAAAAGGAAAAGAAAAGAACAAAAAAAAAAAAACAAAGACTGCAATGGATTTGGGACAATTTTAAATGTTTGAAAGTTGAAAAAGTAGAAAAATAACAACCAAACGGCGCCGTTTTGCAGCCCCCAGCACTATTAATTTTTTTCTTTTTTTTTTCCCTGCGAATTTCTTTGATTTTTTTGGCTGATTTTTTTTTTTTGGCTATATTTTCTTTGAGTAATGGAGATTTTCTCTAATTTTACATTCTCATTTAGTTGGTTGGACATGTTTTCTCACACCTTTCAAAAAAAATTATTGATCATATATAGATTTCTAAATCATTTCTTATATTTTATTCAAAATTTTCATAATCTACTTATACAATATGTAGCCATATAGGGCATCACAGAGAGTTTTTTTTCAAGATAAGGTGAAAAGGTGTAAAAAATGGCTATGGAAAGATAGCAACCGCTTAAAGTTGGTCAACATTGGTAAGCTGTAAAAGAAGGTGACCAAATTGCACAATTCCAAAAGCATGAGGTGATGTGTTTAAAATTTAAGCTACTGATCCAGCTTGTTGTGGATGCAAGGAAGTGTATATATATGTACCACGAGGTTTATATATGTACCACGAGGTTTGCTCCCCGATGCTCTCGGATTCGAGTCCTATTTTTTTTTTAGTGGCCTTTAGAGGTTTATATATTTGTTAACTTCAAAGCTTACGGGATTAATTAAGATACGTGTAAACTATCCGGACACCCGCGTTATATATATATATATATATATATATTGAAAGGTTTTATATATCAACAGCTACAACAAGCTCCATATATAGTCCCATCATTAATGAAAAATTGATATTTCTAATTAATCTATGTTATCTTTTAAGTTAATTTATTTGACCATTAAATTTAATATTCTCTATAAACATGGAAGCATTATTATTGTAATTTTGTGGCCAGTCCATAATATACATATTTTTTTCTGCAAATTTATCTTTCAAACTCTTACATTTATCATTTACATTTACCTTCATGCTTTGTAAATTATCTTTCTTTATATCTATAATACTTTCGTAAGTTACAGTTTTTTTTTTACTGCTTTTTATGGTGTAGATTTTTATCCTGATTGAACAAATTGTCGGACATGATTCATGATTCGTCTGATATTTTAATTGATTGATTCTGTTTATTAGATTTCATTTAATTCATGCGCGATGTAGTATGGAGAAATTTTATAATACACCACGAGTAATTAGTGACATATACGGTAATTACTTTATAGGTTCACTTTAAAGAAAGAGATAAACACAAAAAAAAAAACGAAAAAGAAATAGAAAAGAGAAAATAAAAAAATTTGAGTCGACATGAAAATCTTCTTATCACTTTTGGTGGATATGGATATAATTTTTTTCTTTTTATATCTATCTCTCCTTTTAAACTAAACTCATGAATTAATTATTATACATGTCATTAATTATTCTATATGTATTATAAAAGTTTTCTATAATATGTGTGCAATGCCCCCTATCTGTTTCAGGACACGCATGTATGTACTCATGTCTTTATTTGTTGTACTTGTATCAAAAACCATATAACAATGTCCCCCTGTCTGTTTCAGGACACGCATGTATGTACTCGTGTCTTTATTTGTTGTACTTGAATCAAAAACCATATAACGTGGTTGTAGACATCCAATATTAAACTGATAGTACGAAATTAACTCGTTGATAAGTAAGTGTCGATTTAAAGATTTTGTTTGAAATTTTTTTATTTTAGAATATGAAATATTGTATGTTGGAGAGAGCTCTTTAAAAATATTTTTTAAAAAAATTAGTTTCGAAATACGTAAAAACTAATCTATCAATATCCTTATCCTTAGAACCTGAAAAAAAAAAAAAAAAGACTTTTTTCTAACTCTAGCATCTCGATCGGAAGAGATCAAAGGCTTCGACATATCAGGATATCAACAAACTTTTTATATATAGTCATGATCAATTACATATACATAGAGAGAGAGAGAGAGCGCGCCAAAGCCTTAGAGAGTTTAAATAAGTTTACATAGTCGGGAGTCACAGCTCCACAAATATCTTCTATTAAGATGCTAATACAAACCTAGAAACAACCCTGAATAAAAAACCATCAGCAAAAGGGAGTGGACATGGAAAGCTTACTAATTTACAGTATGATTAGTATGAGAAGTCTGAACTTAATTACACAGGAGGGAAAGAGGACATCCGTCTCTTCTTTCTAGCTACGTAAAGTTAAAAACTATTTCTCGCAAGCCATACCGACAATATATAACATAGCATGCCGAAATTTGAAGTTGTAATTAATTGCCAGTAAACCCATGTTTATAAGCGTAGTCGAGAAGGTTATCCAACTCACCCATGTCGATTTGTCCATCATTGTTGGCATCTGCATGGTAGAGGCCACGGCGAGCCCTGAAACCAGGGAATAATGCCCCAAGTTCATCAAAGGCTCGCTTTAGCTCTTCCTTGCTGAGACAGTTGTCGTGATTGCTGTCGTATTTCTTGAAAATTTTCTTTAACTGCTCTTTGCATTCGGTCTTACTGTCGAGTGATTTTGGTATCAAGTCTCGGAAGCCCATTGCTCTGCTTTCTTGCCCTTTGGTTTTTCAGAAGCATAGAAGCAAGGTTTATATAGATGTCTTAACTGTCCCCATAATTATTCCAACTTATCTTCATGCATCTTTGATGAATTATATCTGTAGATTCGTCGATTTACCACTACTGTCACATCCTCTTCAACTGTATGTCTATCTATTTATCTTCTGCACAAGGAATACATAAAGAAACTATCAAAAGATATGTTCTAATGATAAAATGATTGTTTTCTTTTTTAGCCCAAATCAATGATTACTTTTATTATTTATGAATAGTTAGCTATGGTTATTATTTTTTTAATGATAATAGGTTTGGATTAATTTGATCTAAGAAGCACTTTAATGACCGAGCAAAAACTAAATATGTATTCTGATGTTGGCTTAACTCGAAGAGTGATGAAATTAATCTATATTGATGTAAAAATTAATCCAAAAACTACAACACCATCTGTAATTAAAAAATAATAATAATAAAGAAATAAGATAATTGAGTAGCATATAATGGCATGCTACACAGTGATTAAACACATATATATCTATTAAAGAGCTTGTAACTCAATAATAGTTATTTTTTGTAAAAGGTCACTAATGTTCAAATTCTGACATATTAATTTTGTTAGCAATCTTGAATATGTGAGTTATATATATATATATATATCCAACATTAAACACATATATACCTATTAAAGAGTTTGTAACTCAATGATAGTCGTTACTTGTAAGAGGTCATTAGTGTTCAAATTTTGACATATTAATTCTATTAATAGTCTTGAATATGTGAGTTATAAAAAAAAAAAAAAAACCATATATCTAAATCCAACCTCATGTAATTTGACATATTTGATCAATGTTTTATTTACTCAGTAAATGCTATTTAAGATGTTACCTGTTTAAAATTCCAAATGTTCATTCTTTCATGATACGAAGAAAAGAAGACGTTTGTTCTCTACGATATTTAATGTTCCATTTACTTTATGGAGAATAAATTAAAAAAAGACCTTTCATCTACCTCCTCCTGTCTCCTCTAGAAACCTCTCCTCCTTCTTCCAACTCAGCCATCAAATCTTGCTCAGCTCTCATAATTTGGAGCTGTTTGTTTCGTTTATATTTTTCATTTTTCCAATATCTGGTCTCTTTTCTCTTGTAATTTTCAATTTGTTTATATTTTTTTGTATTAAAATCAATTTTTCAATTTATATTTTAACAGACTTCCAAACAAAAATGCAATTGCTTCTTTAAAAATCAGGTATTTTTCATTTATTAATCTTCTACACTTTATTTTTTTATTATTAAAATCCTCTATCCATTTCTAGTTTCATTGAGATATTTTATTCTCTATTTGGTTTTATTTTTCATTTAATTTTGATTGATATCCAATTCATTGTAAAGTTATTTATTATTAATCCAATATAACACGTTATCGTTAGCTAAATTCAATGAATGAATGATTGATAATTGACATTGAAAATCTCACAAGTCACGACACAATAAACCTATGTATATTAAAAAAATAATAATACAAAGATTAAAAAAAAAAAATGGAAAAACCAATACCCCTTCCAATTATTTCCCAACCCAATTCATCATCATTGTCGTTGTCTCTTTCTTTTCTTTTCTTTAATTTGCTTGGGAATATAAAAACATAAATCTAAAATTATACAAGCTTGAAAATATACTCGAAGCAGAACATGGTGTATCGTTGAGGGGCATTGTCTGCCAACAATTTTCCAAATATTTTTCTTGCTTCAAAAGTATTGTCTTGTTTTTCTTCAAGAAAATGTCTTTGCTGCTCAATAAAAGACAAATTCATGTGTCAGCTGTAAAGTTAAAATTAATATATATTGAAATAGAAAAGGTGATCAAAGAGTTATGTTAGGTTGCCTAGTGGAATGCCATGTGTACATAATATTTTAATATCTATCCAATGATGTAAAGGCATGTGTGTTTATTTATTTATTTTTGTTTATTGCATAGAGATATTGCATTAATGTGGTCTTACCAGAGAAATTAATAGATTTCTTCTTCAATCTAAGCCTTTGCGTGAAAATTTCTTCGAATATGGCTTTTATTAATTATTTTTTAAAATCAAATTAAAGATATGTTATAAGATATGTTTTATTTACACCCTCATAGTATTTCAACCGAAGTCCTTTATTGGTAAAAGTATAAAAAAATATTTAAATATTTAATGATATAAAAACGTGTATTTGTGTGTTTTTTTCTTTGCATGTTTCAATATATATAAAAAAATAAAATTATCAACAACTCTTAATAAGGATGGCTATTTCACTCAATCCATCGAATACCCAATGGCATCCGATCTAAACAGATTAGATTAGTATGATTTGACCAAGTCAAATTAGAAGGAGGCAAAATTTGATTCGGCTTGAGCGGAGTCGGATCCCTCACTTGCCCTCATCACCCAACTCATTTTTTAACTTCTTTTTTATTTTTTTCATGAAGTTGTAATTTTACTTTTCAAGGTAAGGCATGAATTTTTATCTTATGATTCATGGAGAATTTTTATGGTTTTACCCATGGATTTAAATTTTATATTATATGTTATGGTTTTATGATTCATGGATGGGGATTTAGTTTATTTTTTAAAATTTATATTTTGTTTTTTATATAATTGGATTTTTTTAGAAAATAAAACTTGGATCAAGTACCTATCCATTGGAGAAAGTCCTCCACCTGACCCAATTCGACTGGATTTGAGGTAAATGGGAGTGATGGATTTGAATATTCTCAGTTGGAGGTAAGTGGAGCGAAGTTCAACTTCAATCGAATCCATTGTCATCCCTACTGCTTATATATATATATACACGATTGATAGATTTGGATATTTTGAGTTGGAGCCAGGTGGAGTCAAATTTAGTTCTAATTCAATCCATGGTCATCCTGACTCTTGAAGAACATGAATAAAAGAAAAATTGAACACAAATGATGTTAATAATATAAAAGCACTTGAACAACAAATATTTAAATCATAAAAATATATAGTATATAATTAACTTAAAATTCAACATTCTAATTATAATCATAAATAATTTAACGTGGAGTATCATCAAAAGTGACTCCCGACAACACATGGGCCATCTATTAGTTTTAAGTTGAAGTTGAGCTATTTTATATTAATTAAGGTTTTTGTTTTATGTATCTTTCATGTGTGTCCGTGTGTGATCTTTTGAAAAATAATACATGAAAGTATTTTGTAAAAGACTAATATTTTGAGAAATTTTTGTTGGAAAATTATTTTCTATTCAAAGAAATTTTTGTAAAAATACTGATTTTTTAGTAGTGATTTTATGCAAAACAAATACAAGTCAAGAAAACATTTCGTTGTAAAATATTGTAGGTGGATGCATATTGTAACTACAGAACATCTTTTCCTGCCATATTTCAGTTCACTCCACTCTAATATTCCAAATTTTCCAAGAATCTCCAAAAGGAGGGGAAAAGAAGGAAGAAATTGGAATCTAAGATTTCCTAAATAAGGATCCAATTCTTTGCATGACCCCTCTCCAAAGCACAAATCTATAGGAAGGACATGGCAATCTGGTCAAAGGATCTGGCCATGGCCCTCCACCAGTGGATTGAAGTATCAAGGAAAGTAGGACCATTATATAAGTAAAGAAATTTGAGATTCTGATTCTATGGATTAAAAAGCTTTACTTAATAATTAATAAGTTGTTGATCTACCGATAAACAAACTGATTTTTAGATAAATGTTTTGTTGATACATAAGATTTGAATCCTAAAATCATATTTATTAAAAAAAAATTAAATCTTATCATTTTTGTTCTAAATAAAATTATTCTTATCTTTAATAACGATGGAGATGCTTGTAAAGAAAAAAAAACAAGGGGGCTTTACTTAATAATTGTACTATGAAAAATTGCCATCCAGACACTCATATGACATACGTTGGAGTTCGCTTTTCATCTGGATTGATCTAAAAGTAATGAAAAGCTTGTTAAATTTCTTTATAACATTTGAGTTTTTACGTATCAAATAACTCAAAATTTTAAGTTTTTAGAAAAATCATAAAAATAATTTTATATTACTTTTTAATTTTTTTAACTGAAAGTCGTTAAGGATAATTCAATTTAAATATTTATGCTATTCACTTGTAAGCCTTGGAAAACAATTCAATTAAAAAGTTTAAGTTGTAAAATAATGTTCTATGATAGTTTTATATTACCTTTTAATTATTTTTTAAATAAAAACTTTTTTACTTTGAAATAAACAAAAACTCTTCTATGGTGAAATTTTTTAAAAAAAAAAACAGTTCAATTCATCAAAAAATTTTTAACTAGTTTTATATTACGTTTTAACATCTACTATCGCTAACTTTAATTATGGATTTTATATATATATCTTAAAGACAAAGACATCAAAAACCAACCTCATATATTTTGACAAATTAAATTATAATTAATTGTAATGAATGTTTTATTTTTAGTAAAAATGCTATTTAATATCATACCTGTTTAAAATTCCAAATGTTTATCTTTATGTCTTTTTTACTGCTTATAATATTCTTTGATGATGTGAAGAAAAGAAAATGCTTGTTCTCTACGATAATTAATGTTCCCTTGGCTTTGTACAGAGAATAAAAAGCATTTTCATCTATCTCCTTTCTACTCTAGAGATCTCTGCTATCTACTCTAGAAATCGCTCCTACTTGTACCAATTTAGTGGCCACGTCATATCCAAGACTTATCCCAAAAACTCACGCATCTACCATCAAATCTTGTTTTTTCAAGACAAGATTATTTTCTTCCAACAAGGTGTTTGTTTGGTTTTTATTGTTTATTTTTTCAATATCGTCTTCTTCTTCTAATTTTCAATTTATTTATGTTTGTAAAATTAACATCTCCTTATTTTCATAAAAAAAAATGTGTTGTGCAAGTTATATGATGTAATTTTGTTAGAAAAAATTGATCAAAACAATAAATTAAAGACTAACTAAAATAAAATGG